TCCGCCCGCGTTGGCCTCCCAAAGTGTTGGGATTACAGGCGTGAGCCACCGCGCCTGGCTGGTTCCATTATCTTATTCATCCTAAAACTTCCAATTGCCTTATAGATTATATTAAACTACATATGGAATTATTTATTATAAACAAGGTTAATACATACTAAGAAGCCAAAAGAACTACTTAATAGGATAGCCAAAATCTGAGTTACCTATTTTCATTACCCCCAAAAGTAGAACATGGTTATAGTGCTATTCACTGTGACTATTTTAATTAAAACTCAGGTCCAATGCTTAATAACCACGCCCTCTATTAAAAAAAATTTTTTTAAGTATTTATTTTCCCCTAAAAGGGGGCTGACAATAAAAAGGAAGTATTTTTTGTTTTTGTTTAGAACTAGGGTGTGAATTACTCAGTGGTTGTTATAGTCTTGGACCTAGGCAATTCCTGTAGGATCTCTGGATATTAACTCATCTCCTTAGATCATGCCTATTTTGGTATGATCAAAAAAGAAATGTTCCCCTCAAATTTCAATATTTCAGTTCTAAAGGCTTCAAAGAGCAAATCCAAGGGCAGTCCTTTGTAAAGTAACACAAACCAAAGTATTGGGACTGGGAAACAAATTACTTTGAAATTAAGGTGGTCAACAACATAGGGTGTTTTCCAATCCATCTGAAAAGTCAACATTTATTTATTTATTTATTTATTTATTTTAGAGATGGAGTTTCGTTCTTGTTGCCCAGGCTAGAGTACAATGGTACAATCTTCACTCACTACAACCTCCACCTGGGTTCAACTTTATTTATTTATTTTGAGATAGAGTTTTGTTCTTGTTGTCCAGGCTGGAGTGCAATGGCGTAATCTTTGCTTACTGCAACCTCCACCCGGGTTCAAGTGATTTTCCTGCCTCAGACTCCTAAGTAGCTGGGATTACAGGCAGGTGCCATCATACCCAGCTAATTTTTTTTTTTTTTGTATTAGGAGAGACGGGGTTTCACCATGTTGGTCAGGCTAGTCTCCAACTCCTGACCTCAGGTGATCCACCCGCCTCGCCCTCCCAAAGTGCTGGGATTACAGGCGTGAGCCACTGCGCCCAGCCTAAAAAGTCAACTTTTAAATATAAGCCTATAAAATCAGCTCTATGACCCTCAGAAAGGTTTTAAATTAATGAAGAGAGTTTTATCACTTCTCAAATAAGAACATTAGAAGGGAGAAGATTTCCTGCTGTTAGCTCTGAGAACTCTTAACTCCATGAAAGCAGTTCTTCAATGTCAAATATTATATAAACGTCAAATATTAAATAAATACAAATTCAATGCAACAAAATCTGTAATTATCTCTCAATATTACGACTGCCGTATACAAACAAGAAACAAACTGTTTGGCTTTGACAGTTTTCTCACAAACACACAAAAATAAAAGCCACCTTCAAATTTAATCCAGAAAAATGGACTAGCAAACAGAAAATGCTTTTCGTGAGGCCATCATAAAGCACTAGAAATTTGGGGAGGGTGCAGAAGCTTTTCATTTGCAAACTTCAAGAGTCAACAAGAAAAATTAACACTAAAAAACATCACACCAACAATTTTCTCATTTACTATTTAGCAGCCTATAAGGAGGTTCATCAAGTAGTTTCCAAGTCATTAAATTCACATTCCTTGCTGAATCTAGACTATGTGGCTATATGCAAAATTACAATAGCAAAAAATGCTTAATCGCTCTATATAGGGGAAACATTATAGGCAATCCAAGTACTCAAAACAAATTGAGAGAGAGAGATATTAGTTTGCATTGGGACAATAAAACAGGAACTTGATATAGTCCCTAGAACACAAAACTTCACCACAGGACTAAAATGACATATACAGTTAAGTCTTCGAACCATTTTCTGTTAAGAGTAGAGATTTACTGCAAGTTTGTACAAGGTACACATGAGAATATTCTATTGACAATCTGCCTCAGATTATCAGCTGGAAAAGGGCTGAATATTAAACCAAAGTAAAATACAAGATTTATTCAGAGCCATCAGATGAGGAAAACTGTTTCTAGCTTCCAAAAAATATGAAATAACATCTGCTATTCTGTTACTAAGTAACTGTTTGACAGCTAATTCATCTCAACATAACTTGGGCCTATCTTATTTACTTAAACAAGAGAGTTAGATTCCACTCACTAAGGTTCCATTTAAGATCTAAAATTTGTACTCTAAAACATGTGACCCAATAACTATACTTTAGGAAATATAAATAAACTTAACAATAAGGAGCACCTGTATTTGTAATTAGTCTAAAATGCTACTAAGGAATAAAACAGCTAACTTACAACCTATCAGGAAAACAGCAAGAGAAATACATCTATATAAACAAACTTGACCCCCAAAGGAAGGAACAACTGCTCAAAGTACCCAATCTATCCCACCCCCATCCCTCAGATAAACTTGTAAAGAAAAAATCACACTGGTCAGGCACAGTGGCTCATGACTGTATATCCAGAACACCGGGAGGCTGAGGTGGGTGGATCACGAGGTCAGGAGTTCCAGACCAGCCTGGCCAAGATGATGAAACCTCATCTCTACTAAAAATACCAAAAAAATTAGCCAGGTGTGGTAGCAGGTGCCTATAATCCCACCAGCTACTCAGGAGGCTAAGACAGACGACTGCTTGAACCCAGGATATGGAGGCTGCAGTGAGCCGAGATTGTGCCACTGCACTCCAGCCTGGACAACAGAGTGAGAGACTCTGTCGCGGAAAAAAAAAAAAAAAAAAAAACCACACACACACACACACACACACACACACACACTATAGTGGCTACACATATTATTTTATTTCTTAATAAGCTATCTCATTTTATTTTGTATAAAAACAAACTCTCTATTCAAAATCTCTTACCTGATAAAACAAGAGATGTATTTTCTTAACAAGAAGTAGAGGCCAAGTCAATCCTGTGGGCAACCAATTAAAACCAACTTTTAGACTGCAATAGAGAATAAACGGAGGCAAAAATCAATGCAGGAAACACAAAACAACACGCACAGGCCACACTGTACATTACGAAGGCGAGTCTGAAACCACCAGAGGACTTCATTAGAATGCATATCAAAAAAAAAAAAAAAAAGGAAAGACACCATAACAAAATCCCACATGTGCTTTTTAGTTGGTATTGCTTTCAAATTTTAGTATCTCAAAATATTTATATATTTACATATAGCAAGTGTCATAACTTAGCCCAATAATGAATCAACTGAAAATTAAAACAATCATAGAGCTCAGCTTCATAGCTACTAATTGCTTTGATCACTTTATAATTAAACCAGTCCAGAAAACTCTGTTAACACAAGTCTATTTCCCCAGGTTCTCACCAAATTGTGATGAAAAAACACAAGTTCGCACAGTAACAATTCTTGGACAACTTAAGACAGCAATTCAACGGTACTCAGGGTACTTATGGAAATTACTACAATTATTCTTTCAATGTATTTTTTTTTTGCACCAAAATAGCATTCAACATCACAAAACAAATGAAGTATGAGTTCTTGCTCTTTCCACTGGAGCTCAATATATTAACAAAATATGAAGGGAAATTTCCTCTGACACAACAGTTCCAAAAAACTTGTAATAATTAAAAAAAACAAAACAAAAAAAAAAAACCCTAAAAATGCCTGACTTATCCCAAAGTAAAAACAGGTCACTTCCCTTCCACTGTCTTGGAACTACTGAAGTTATAAACAAGTCACAAGCATATATGACCAAATGCCTAGATAACTATATTCAAAGATCATATTTTAAGTTTTTTTAAAGGTCACATTTTAATTCGGAGAGAGAAGAAATTTTCCATTGTTCAGTATTAAGATTACCAACGACTATTTATCCGAATGATGCTCATCTTAAATTAATAACT